ACGGGCCCTCCCCCCTCCCCACTGGGGAAAGAGACGGGGGGGGGAGAGGAGGCGCCCCTGGCCTTCCTTCGACGGGGTGGCAGCAGCCTTTCGAAGCCTTTCCGTGCCTGAAGGGGAACTAGGCGGGGAGGGGCGTCCTGAGGGAGGCCTTCGGGGAAACAGCCCTGCAGGGTAGGCCACCGCCGGGCGCCGGGAGCTGCTGCGCGTGCGCACACCCATTTCTTTCTTTTTCTCTCTGCCCAAGGGGGGGAGGGAGACGTACAGCAGTTCCTCCTGCCGGCAGGGGGCGCCCGTGGCTTGCACATCGCCCCTCAGGCGCCTTTCCTCCCTCGTAGGTGCGGCGGTTGTTGCTGCTTGGCGCATGCGCTGCGCGCGCTGCCTGTGGCGGGAGAGAACCGCCAGGCGCCATTTTGTTCTCGACGCTTCGCGCAGGGAAAGGAGAAGCCGGTTCGCCGCCGCCGCCATGGCCGGAAACCCTACCGGGCAGCGGGGGCTCTCTCGCGGGCGGCGCTCAAGGTCGAAGAAGGTAAGACCCCCCCTCGAGGGTGGCGGAGGCGAAGCTTTGGTTTCCCCCCTCAGGGGGAGACGAAATCTGCGTTCTGCGCATGCTCCGCCCTCGACGTATCCCAGCATGCCTCTGGGCAGCCCTTCTTTGGGCGGGAAACCGGAGTAGGGAGGGAGGGGGGTTGTCTTCCTTTCCCGCCCAAGGGCCCCCGGGATTCGAGGACAACCCCGCCTCTCGGGGAGACCCGCTGCCACTGAGGAGCCACCGCTTTTGCCGGGAACGGGGTGGCGGGGCCCGGAAGGAACTCAGGCACCGGGAGCGAAGCCTGGTTGCACCGGAGCCGACCTTTGACCCCTGGAGCCGACCTTTGACCCCCCCGGGCCGCGTGCTTGCCAATCGGGCCGGGCTCCCTTCCCTCCCTGCTGGCACGGAAGGGCTCCCCCTCCCTCCCCCTGGGGCGCCTGAGGGAGGGGAGGTCAAGGGCCCGGGCCCTGCCTGGCTTCCCCGTCGCGTCTCCCGGCCACCCTTCCTTGGGTGGGTCCCCCTGGGGTGGGGGGGCCTCCTGAGGGCTTAAGGAGTCGGAAGGGAGAGCAACGGGGTCCAAGCACGTGAGGAGCGAAGGCAGGCCCGGTAGGGATCCTGCCTTGCCTTCGGCGCGCCCGTGAAGGAGGAGCCCGGAGTGGAGGCGAAAGCCCTGGGCCCCCCACCCAAGGGTGCCGGCCTGGTTGGAGCGGAGGGTGATTCGCCCACCCGCCCACCGACCCTACAGACAGACCACACTCAAGGGCTGATGGGAGTTGTAGGCCAAAGCCCTTCGGGAGGGCCGCAACCGAACCCCTTCCCTGGGCGCAGAGGCGGCCGGTGCTCGGGACCGGTGCACCCTTCCTGCCAGGGTGGTTGTCGCTGACGGGGCCCTCCAGTCGCCCCTGACTCAGGGTGAAACCCACCCATATGCGGTCCTCCCTCCACCACCGTGTCCTGCCCGGCTCAGCTCTTGCTGAGGCTTCCTCGAGGGGGGTCCGTCCATCTTGTGCCTGGTCTTCCTCTTCTCCTTGCGGCCTTCCTCCTTTCCCAGCAGGGATGGTCTTTCCCCGGGGAGTTTGCCCTCTCAGGAGGGGCCCAGCATCAACCTTGGTGCCTCCCGGATCAGACCTGGTGTGATCTTGGACCCACCTCTTCGTCTTTCTGGCAGTTTGGGGGTATTTGCAAAGCTCTCCCCCAACACCATGTTTCACACAAATCCCTCCCCCCCCCCGGTCAGCTTTCTTCACTGGCCGGCTTTCACCCTCCTATGGGGTGATCAGAAATGCAAGAGTGTGGGGGTGATGTTGGCCTTGGTCTCTCACCTGCCGCTTGGTTATCTTTTCTAATTCCTTCATCGCTGCCTTTCTCCCTCTCAGTTTCTTTGGTTTCTTCGGAGTTATCTTCATTTGGATTGAGGAAGGCATAGAAGGTCTTTAACAATTTTAGTCTTGTTCATTGTCAGCATTAAGGCTTATTCTGTAGCCTTGATTTTTGTCTTCTTAAGATTTAACTCCAGCCCCTTTCTTGTTGATGAGTTCTAGAATTCCTCCAGCCAGAATGGCAGCTGCTAGCTCGGGGATTCTGGGCGTTGTAGTTCCCGAAACTCAACTGTCCCAAATGTCTTACTGGTTTTTTGGGGGGGGACTCTTCCCCCATCCTCCGAGCCCATGTCTTGGATGGTCCCAATATGCTTTCAAGAGCTTAGTACACTTCAGTTCCTATCTCTTATAGTCTGTGGTGATTTTACAGATGGGGAAAGCAGACTGTAAATAAACTGCTTTGGTCCCCTTCAGCTGTTTAGATCTATGCTTCTCCTCCTGCCGTTCTCTGCATGACTGATAGGAGTTAAAGCGCAAAGCCTTCCAGCTGGGAAATGCTGTTATGAAGGAGCTTAGAAGAGCTTTGGGAAAAGAGGAAGAGTCTCCCCCTTTCTGAGTCTCTGCCACACTTTCTTCATCTCTTTGCTGTCAGTCGTTGTGGTCCATGTCTGTTCTTGCTTCCCTCTTTATCCTCTGCTGGATCCGGCATGATCCAGTGGAGGATAAAGCAAAGCCAAGCGAGGAGGAAGACAGTGAGGGGTTGACTTTGGCGCCTTTCTTGCCTGGAGGTCGGCAGAGCTTGCGTGTGGCAGTGTTTCCTTTCACAGTTTTTGTTGTTCTCAGATTGCATATTTAGAGTTTGCAGCACACACTGTTTTCTTGCCAGGGCGGGGGGGGCGGGAGGGGGAGCAACTTGGTGATAATTCCCCTCCAAGCCTTCTACTGCGTTTCCTCCTCAAAAGCTTCCTGAGGGCTGATCCCATCCCCTTCCTGCCTCTCCCCGCTCAGCAACCTCCCCTGCTGCCTCTTGTTTCACACTCTTCAACTTTTCCTCCACCCAGCTGGGTTTGGGACGGAGAAGCTAAAGACCATCCCAGAAAAACAACACAGGGAGGGTGTGGGGCAGGCAGGACCTCCTTTGCCTCCTATGAGGACGGGAACTTGTAGGAATACCGTTTGTCCCTTTGATTCTGAGGTTGACTTGGTTTCTCTCCTTGGTCTGGCAGCTGCTTTCTCCTGTGGAGAGCGGCGAGGAGGAGGACGAGGCGACTCTGGTTCTCATTCCTCAACAGTGGAAGATTACCTGGCCGAAGGCTGAGAAGAGCAAGGTATGTTCCTGCTGGGGAGGGAGATGCGGACTGGATGAGCCATGCCCAGCTCCTGCCATGGGACAACTCCATGGCCCGCTAGCTAGGCTAGGTTACCGTGTCTCATACTGTGGGTGCCATGGCCTTGTGGCCACAGGCTTGCCTTAGCTGTCTTGCAGGGGGCTCGGGCAGAGGGCGTGATGGCTTGCCTTCCCAAGAGGGAGCAGCGGCATCGTTGGGTTCTCTTTCTGTCACTGAGGAAGCCAGAGTCCCTGGCAGCGACAACTGTACAGGGGGAAGGAGTTGCAGTTTTGTCCCCTAGAGGTACAGCCGCCCACTTGGACCTGAGAAACCCCAAACACCGTCTCTCTTCTCAGGACTGCTGGTGGTGGCAGGGCTTGTTGATTTCTGCCTTGAAAAGAAGGTGAGAGAAAGTTCTCCCTCGTGTTGGTTTCATTTGAGTTCATGGTTTCTGTGGGTTGTTTGGGTGTTGAAATCCAACAGGCATCAAAGTATGTCTGAAATGAGCAGATGGAGTGAGGTGGTGGCCGGGTAGCGGGCATAACAGTCCAATTGGCACTGCTGCTGCTTGGGGGGGGGGGGGGNTTTTCTTGGATGACGAGGTCCTGTTCGTGAATGCATTTGAGGCATTTTCTGGCTCTTCCATCTTTTTAGATTTTCAGGAGTACCGAGAGAAAGGCAGTGACCGGATGGCTGGAGGAGGTTCTGGCGGCAAAGCCTGGGTCTTTGCTCTGGGTCTTGCAGGCATTTTCCTTCGGCTGGACCTCATTACTCATGGCCAGCCTGCTTTTCCCAGATAAGCCTTTACTGTCATGGGAAATGGTTTGTCCATGACATTCCCTGTGAAAAACGCCCATTGCGGCATCAGTGGCGTCAAACTGCCAAGGGGCCGGCGTGGATGCAGTTCCTCCCAGCCTGATTGAAAGGGAAGAAAAGCCCGCAGAAGGTCTCTGTGGAGACGGGAGAGGAACAAGCACAGAGGGCAGGGGGAGCCTGGGAAAGGCCCGACATCTCGCCCTGCACACACACACCCCGAATCGGGTTGGGACGGGGTCTGACCTGGGTGGGGGCCACGGAGGGGGGCTTCTTTGAAGCCACCCTGCCGTCGGTTTCCTGAGCGATGCCTTCGGTGTGAGTCTGAGAGGGTTTGTGCGCGCCCATCCTGGGTCTTCTCCCCGTTCCCCCTTGGGGCTGGCCTCTTTTCTGCCCCCTCTTCCCCTTCCCCCACCGTTCCATGGGGCTTTGAGCCAGATGGGAACCCCGCTGGGGCCACCGCCCTTGCCCAGGTATTAGCCAGCCAACCAGCATGTGTGGAGCATCCCCTTCCCTGGGGGGGGGGGAAGAAGACAGAGCGGACACCTTCTTGACAGAGAGCGGAAGACGTGAAAGCGCTCCCTGTGAGGGAGGCATGGGGAAGGGCCAGAAAGCCTGGTCAGCAAACAACAGCCCCGCCCCCGAGCCCTCGCCCGCCCTCGCCAGCGGGTCGCCCGCCCAGCCCCTGGGGAGAAGGACCTGGGCTCTTTGGAGTCAAACCGCTTCCCTTTTCAGGGACTTTGGTGGTTTCTGAAACCACCAAAGGCCCTTTTTTAAAAACATGCAGAGATCCTGCTAGGTGGCTTTTGAGTGTGGAACCCACTCCTGACTGGCCCAGGGGAGTGCTGGCTTGGGCGGATCCTTCCCGTCTCGTGCTGGACAGAAGCCCCTTTGGCGGCCGCCCGATGGCTAGGAGCGCCTTTCCTCGAGAGCTGGGCCAGGCAGCGCTTGCCCCTTCCTGCCGCCGCCTCCCGGTGTGCTTAGCAAAACAAGCTTTGTTCCTGGAAATGTCTCCTTCCCTCGTGTCCACGTTTCCAGGCTGTTCTCTGGTGGCTCCGTCCCAAGCTTGTCATGTTTTCGTGCCATAGAACCAGAGCAACAACAAAACGAGACACCTTGTGAACAAGCCCATGGCGGAGAGAATGAGACAGGCAGAGGCCGTGAGGCTGGTGGTCTCCCTGCCTTGGTCAGCAGCGGCTCCTGGCAAAGCCCCTTCCTCCAGAGACATGTGGAAGTCTTGGAGGGAGGTCAGGAGGAAAAAGAAAGGGGGGGGGTTCATCTGCTTTTTTCATGGGCAAATTGATAGAATTTGTTGAATAAAATGGGGACGCTGGAGGATGTAGGCGGGAAATGCTATTGTGGAATATTTTGTCCTCTGGGGCAGTTGTGTTGCTAGTAGTGCTTTTCATCTGGTGTACTGTTTTATTTTGACTTTGGAAGCAAACTAGTCAAGGGCCCTGGGCTGCTGTGGGGAGCTGCCGAGCTCCGGCTGCTGTCGCGGGTCAGTTGGCCTTCTCAGGCCCTTCCCTCGGCCCGTGGCCCCCCCGGGCAAGCGAGGCTTACTTCCTGCTGCTCAATCCCGTCCCGCTTGCCTGCCTGCCTGGCTCGGGGCCCTGGCTGTTCTCGCTGCCTCGGATGTCTCCCCGGCTTTCTTATGTGTCTCACAGAACTGACTTGGTCCAGTGTGGCCACGGTCGGACGTGGTCAGCAGCTGTGTGATGCGGTAGCTGACACGCACAGACCTTTCCCCCCCCCTTCCATCTGTTGATGGCCAGCCTCTCTTTGGCTGTACAGCTGGGGCTTTGTTGACATGTGGTGCAAAAAGCAGGCGTCTCAGGGTGGTAGCGGCGTGTTAAAGGGCAGGGCCGTTCCTACAGCTTGGACCGACGCCACGGTTCCCGTTCTGAAAGGCCGCCCGGAAGTCCTTTCTGGGGACAGGCTGGCGCAGCGGTTCAGCCTGGCAGAGCTGCTGCTGCTGGTGCTGCTCTCCTCTCACCCTTCCAGGGGTGACGTGGGAGGGCCAAGGAAGGCGGCGGCAGGTATCCCGCCAGTGCGCTGGACGTGGGCTCCTGGGGCTTCCGTGGCTGGTCATTCAGTCGGTCAGTTCAGCTGACGCGGAAGCGCAGCACTGAGGGCTTTGCAGAAAGTTGGCTCTCCCCGAGCAGCCCAACATCTGGCAGGACCGAGAGGGGTTCCTGGCAGGGAGGTTGCTTCCCACGCAGTGACGCCTCAAGGCCTCGGCCCTAATTCAGACCAGCTTTCCTTTTCCCATCCCGCCTCCCACCACCACCACCACCACGAGGCCTGCTTGCAGCACTCTGGGCAGGCCTCAGAGGGAGCCCCGGGAAGCCAGGTGGCCCAAGCCGCGGCGGGCCCTCCGTTTAGCCCCTTGCAGACCCCACCTCATGGCAGGCAAGGCTGGAGACGACGGGAGAAGCAGGATCCCACCCCGGGCGCTTTGTACTGCTTGTGGAGACGGCACAAGGGCCTGCGTGGGATGGTGGCTGTCCCGAGTCCAACCCGCAGGGTGGGCTCTCCTGGCACAGCTGCCCTCAACGGCCCTTCAGTCCCGTTGGACGTGGGCAGTCAAGCAGGGCCAGGCCTGGTCCGTCCTAAGGGTGGCAGCCGCCGGGGAGCTCTGGAGGGGGGGGTCTGGAATTCGGCAGAGGCACGGCTGCCACGCAGTCAGGGGTGGCCATCCTTGTCCCGACAGACTCCGGGGGCCTCGCTCAGTCGAGGGCAGCACAGCCCCCTCCCCTGTGAGCAGCGACCGAGCGCCGTCCCTGGAAAATGCCCAGTTACGGTCCCCATGCCCTGCAAGAGGGAAGCGCCGGGGTGCGCTTGCGCAGGCTGGGGGCTGCCTGTGTCCCCGCTCCTCCTTTTAAAAGGATGAGAAACTTTTTGGCTGAGAAGCTCCCTTTGCATCCATGAGGTTTAGGGTTAGGCTTGCGGGGGAGAGATTTCAGCACATTTTGCTCACATCCACACATGGGATGTTAAGTTTGGGTGGGGGGATGGAAGTTCAAACCCAGAAGGAGACCAGAGCCGTTCAGTAGCTTTTGGTGATCAGAGGAAACGTTTTCTGTGCTGTGGGTGCGCAGAAGTGGCTCCTCTCCTTCTCCGTGGGACCGGCCTGTGGCCCGTGTCGGCTCTGTGCAGGGCCCCTCGGGGATCAGGGGAGATGCCCCCCCCCATGCCACCTCTCGGCGGGAGACGTGCCCTGTCCCTCGGCAGCCCCCCAGGGTTGGGATCCCAGGCCTTTTCCGACCTTCCTTCCCTGCCTTCCTTGGGGCCGGTCAGCAGCGTGTCTCCTAGCTTGAGGTGCACCGAGGCGGATGTGCTGGATTCCAGAGAAAGGTCCGAACAGAACCGGGCTGGGCCATTGCTTCCCTTCTCCTGGATGTTTGCCTTCTGTTGATGCCGCCCAGAATTGCATTGGTCTTTTGCGCCGCTTTTGAAACAGGCTGAGTTTGTCGTGGGCCCCCGAAATCTTTTCCACGCAGATGGGTGCCCACCCTGTTGTTCCTGCCCCCCCTTTTTTTTGCTTGTCTCAGGAAGGCTTCTCCTGGCAGAAGGCCCCTCTGGACTCCGCCAGTTCTTCGGCCAGAAGCCCTGCAGGCTGGCCTGGGAAAAGGAAGGGGCCCTCGGGCCTTGTGGGGCAGAAAGGCCGGCGTGGGGGCGGTGGGTGAAGGGGGATCTCCCCCATTCTGCCTGCCCCCTCGGTCAGGTGTGGAAGTGCCACCGGCGGCTCCAGCGGAAGGTGGGGGAGGCAGCCACGGGGAGTCTCTTTTGGAGCAGGCCACCCACCGCCCGCCTGGCTGTGCCAGCCCTTGTTCAGCAGAGGGAGGGCGGAGGTCATCGGGTGGGCCCCTCAAGAGCCCCCTCTGTCCTCCCCTCCTCCTCCTCCTCCTCCTCCTCGGGAGTCCTGGAAAGAGCCCTCCAGAGCTGCCCTCCTGGCCGTCTCGGGGCACTCTCGCCTGGACCCCTCGTGCTGGTTTGCTCTGGGGCCACGTGGCCCCCCCTCGCCTCTGGCTGTCCCTCTCTTTCCAGAGAGTTATCCCTGGTTCTTCGCCTGTTTCTTCATGGGACGTCCTTTGCAAAGGGATTGGGGCCCACATGGAGCCTGTGCATGGCGCACCCAGGCCGGCACCCGCCAGCACAGAGGAGGGAACAGACGGGGAAGCGTCCCGCATGCGGGGGCTGGGCGCCCGGCTCAGACTCTGGGTGGACACTGGCTCCCACCCGGACCAAGGGAGTCTCCCAGCTTTCCCCCTCAAAGAAGTTGTTATCATTGGAGCTGCAGGAATCGGGGGCTGCTCGTGGGGACCGAGCGTGGGCTCCGAATCTGGCCCCCGACCAGGCCCTGCAGAAGCCTCCCCTTGGGGCCCCCCAGGCAGCAAAGGCGGGCCTTGCCTTGGCCGGCCTCTGAATCTCCCCCCCCCCCCCAAGCCTTTCTCCAGTTCCCAGGCTTGGGGGGGCTGCAGCTGGGCTGGGGGGGGGGAAGAGAGAGAGGCACCTGTCTGGTCTCTGCGCAGAAGAAGGGAAGGCTCCAGCACAGACAGGCTGGGGGGGGGGCTGTCCTGCCCAAGCAGTTCCTGGCCAGAGACCCCCTCCTGTTCCCACGCATCCTGAGACATGCACCCCCCCATCCAGGCCTGCACACGCGGGGGTGTGTGTGTCAGGCCAGGCCTCGAAGCTTGACCACCTCTGTGCCAGCCTCCCCTTACAGAAGGGTGGGAGGACTGCTGCCGCCCCCCCGCACCCCCCAGCTGTAGACCGATGTC